TGGAGCTCTTGGGGCTTATTGGGTTCGAACCCTCTAGTGCCTGGTATTCAGTCAAATAGCATCGTCTCTTTGTCAGCAGAGTTAGACGTTCCTTTGCCTTTCGAATTTCTTCGGATCCTATTTCCGAGGTCTCGTTCCGGGGTGTCAGCTTTAGTTATGGATGCGTTCTACGGTAGAATTGGAAAATTCGTACAACTACTCTCAATGCTCGGGAAAAATTAGAGAATCGCTCCAAAATGTGTTGAATACTTGAAGCATCCGTTCTTGTGATCTTCTGTTCCAACTCGGTTTCAATCGCTTCCTCATTTTTCTGAGGCCATTCAGACGGTTACAATTTCAACCATTTCGGACCTTGCCACCAGAGCCAACTCTCCGCTAGTTTGAGAGGGGATACCACGCGACTACCTAGATCGGCCGGGTTGTCATGTGAATCCACATGATTCCAGTCATTCACTCCGACGAGTTCATCGATCTTTGACACTCTGTTTGCCACGAAGGTAGTCCAGGAGCAGGGGGGCTTCCGCAGCCATGATAGCACTATGGTAGAATCTGTCCATTTGTAAACCGTTGGGTGAGGAACGTCAAACTGTGGAAGAGCATTGATTAATTCCGCGAGGAGTAGCGCTCCACATAATTCCAAACGAGGTAGGGAGATCGTTTTTACCGGTGCCACTTTGGTTTTTCCTACCAACAGATTTACCTCAGGTTTTTCATTTGACGTACGTTCCCGTACTCTCACGTATAGGACAGCAGCAGCTTTTTCAGAAGCATCGCAGAATCCATGAAACTCGATCTCGTTCCAAGGCGTAAAGCTAATACATCTTGGAATTCATATTTTTGCAATGTGGATATAGTTTTTTAAGAATCTTACCCATCGCAGATAAATTTCGCTCGGTAAATTGTCATCCCACTCTATTTTGGAGAGCCATATATCCTGCATTAAAATTTTTGCTTCTACCACTATAGGTCCTAACCAACCTGCAGGGTCGAACAGCTTTGCTACACATGATAGCACTTCCCGCTTTGTATAACTCAGCTTGATTTGTACCTCTTGTACGTTAAAATGAAACCTATCATGGGCAGCATTCCACCTAATTCCTAACATTCTTGCTTCACTGATAGCATCAATTTCCAAGAAGTCTTCTTTGAATACGTAGTCCTTTGGTAAATCAGTCAGGATTTCCTTGGAATTTGAAGTCCACTTTCGCAGGGGAAATCCTGCTTTATTTAGAGCTTCTAGGAGTTCGTTACGCATTCGTATCGCTGTGTCGCAGTCATGAGCTCCCGCAAGGACGTCATCAACGTACATGTGCTGCTTTAGGACTCTGGAGGCTAAGGGGTACTGATATCTGATATCTTCTGCCAGTTGAAGCAGCGTCCTTATTGCTAAATATGGAGCACAGTTGACTCCGAATGTCACCGTTTGGAGTTCATAGTCTAGTAGTTCCTCCTCGTTTGAATCTCTAAATAAAATTCTATGGAAACGGGTATCATTCGGATGTAAGAGGATCTGCCGATACATTTTTTCAATATCCGCATTAAAGACATATTTGAAAAATCGCCATTTTAGTAAGAGTGCAATGATATCAGCTTGCAGAACCGGACCAGGATGGAGTGCGTCATTCAAACTTACCCCGTTCGAGGATGGACTTGATGCATTAAATACAACGCGTACCTTCGTTGTGGTGCTGTCAGGTTTGATGACTGCATGATGTGGCAAGTAGTATGTTCCTCAAGTGCTTCTTCCGATGCTGTCGTCAACTGGCTTCATATGACCGAGGGTTATGTATTCTGGCAGTACTCGGTGATACTCAGCCCTAAAATCCGGCTTTTTCAACATAGCTGCCTCAATTCGGAGGAATTGATGCATCGCACTAGTTCGCGAGTACCCTAAATTAATCTCCTCTGGAAATTTTTGTCTAAAAGGTAGCGCCACCATGTATCGCCCTTCATTCTTCCTTATTGTCGTGCTCCGGTAGAAGTGTTCGCAATGTGCCTCCTCAGGAGTGACCGAGCGAGTTCAGATCTAGAGATTTCGGAAAACATAGAAACATTTGAATTCGGACTCACCCTCGAGGTCTGAGGGGCTGGACCTGTCAGGATCCCTAAAATCCGGCTTTTTCAACATAGCTGCCTCATTTCGGAGGAATTGATGCATCGCACTAGTTCGCGAGTATCCTAAATTAATCTCCTCTGGAAATTTTTGTCTTAAAGGTAGCGCCACCATGTATCGCCCTTCATTCTTCCTTATTGTCGTGCTCCGGTAGTAGTGTTCGCAATGTGCCTCCTCAGGAGAGACCGGTCTCTTGCTTGGAACTTGCTCAAGCTCCCAAAACCGAGCGAGTTCAGATCTAGAGATTTCGGAAAACATAGAAACATTTGAATTCCGATTCACCCTCGAGGTCTGAGGGGCTGGACCTGTCAGGATCCAACCAAAGACTGTCTCCTGTGCCAAGAGGGAGCCCAGGACATTCTTTAATACGTTTCCCATTATTTTGGTCGGATACAAATCTGCACCAATGACCAAATCAACCTGTTGACTTTTATTAAAATTGACATCAGCTAAATCGATTGGGGGCAGTAAACCAAAATCAATCTGGTCTACTGAAAACTGGGGAAGGTTCCCTGTCAGTAGGGGGAGAATCAGGCCTCTTGCCTCAATTCTAATCTGGGGGTTGAGAGGTGAACCTAACACAAATTTGGCGATTTCTCGCACTTTAGCCGGGGTCGTCGAGTTATTCCACATACCTTTAAGTCAGCTGGTTGAGTTGGCAGATTAATACGTTTTTGCAACCACTTGGCTATAAACGTGTCTTCCGATCCCGAATCCAGAAGGGCCCTTGCCACGTAATTCACTCCTGAGAGACAAATGTGCACCATTACTGTACCCAGGATCACGTTCTTCGTGCTTGATGCGAACAATGCGTTTACGCTGCTGGTGGTGGTTGAGGGTTGAGTTTGCCTATCATCTCTGCTTGCTGGTGTTGGAGCAGCGGGGGTTTCCGTTGGCCTTTTTCCAGTCGGCGTTCTATGCAGCAACGAATGATGCCTTTGATGACAGTTCATGCAACTGAATGTACTCTTGCAACCCCTTGCAATATGAGAATGAGCCAAACAGTTCATGCACAGATTGTATTTTCTCACAGTTCTGGAATGATCATCCACACTCATGGCAAGGAACTTTGGACAAAGCTTCAGCACATGGGATCGCTCTGGACATAACCTGCATACAGGTAGCGAGTACTGAGCATGGTGTGACGATACCCTTTTTCCTGAGAGAGGTGCGGGTGCAAGATTTTGGGTTACCTTATTTACTCGCGTACTTTGAATATCAGATACAGTCTCAAGAGTCTGGAATCTACTTTAAAGAAAGCTGTCTAAATCCTCCCACCTCGGAATTTCGGCCTTGTTCACTATTCCTTGTTCCCAAAGTGCTAGTGTCGTATCCGGTAGTCTACTAGAAACTAAAAACAGAAAAATAGCGTCCCAATTGCTGATCTCGATCCCATACATTTGGAGAACTGAGTTGCAATTGTTTACTGCTCGTTGTAAATTCTTTATGTCACTACCACGCTCAATTTTCATGGTAGGCAAATTGAACAGTGTCTTCAGTTGAATATTTACCATTACTCTCTTATTTTCTTAACGGTCGGAAAGGTTTTGCCATGCGGTTGCAAAACCATCATGGGTTAGAGGAGATTTCTTTACGATATCTTTAGCTTCTCCTCGTGTCTTTTGATTGAGATAGTATAGTTTCTCAACTGGGGTTAAACGGGAATTGTTGATGTAGATTGCTGTAAAAAGATCCCGAAAAGATGGTCATGCCATATAGTCACCATAAAAAATTTCGGTGTCGCACGCGGGGTGATGAATGTTCGAACGCGGAGCCGCTTCAGGTTCCCGGAATACAGCATGCGCTGTTGACGTACTTTGTTGCACAAATGTCAGGTTATGAATCGTTTCGTCCATCAATGCCGCGCAAGTCAGATATGCTGCGTAGCAATCCTGATACCGACATTTTGCAGAAAGTCTGGCCGATGCATCTGATTCTTCTCCAGATAAATTCCGCGAATATCCTTCATATGTTTCCTTAACTTTAATCCATAATGCCTTGAGTTCTTCGTTTTGGATCTCTAGTAAAAAAACCGAATGATTTGCACTTGGAGATTTGTTATACAACTCTTCGAACTCTAACAGTGCATCACAGGCCAGTGGAAATTCATCAACGTTAGCCATTTTATATGGCTAGATGTAAAAACCGAATTCGACCGATCTAGTATCAAAAAAAATTATTTAAAATAAACAGGAGTTGCCTGCGGTACTTTCGCAGTGCACCGCAAAATATATGTGAAAATTCTCACAATTTAAAAAAAAAATACGAATCGTAATAATTTTATGTTAAGAACTCAGATTACTGAAAAAACTCACCATTAACGCTGCTTATTAGCTTACGGTTTGCTGGCCCGTTGGTAGGGAGGTCTTGCTGCCTCTAAAACAATGTTTTCGTCGAACAACACTGGCTCTTCCGCTTCGATGCTTACCTCCTTTGAAGGGCGCTTTGCCTTGTTGCACCACCCAATGCCAGTGCAACCGTGGAGTCACTTCACTTATGCACTTTTTTTTTTACATTCACTTCCTTTTTTTTGGATTTTTTCAACGTGCCACTATTTTCATTTTTCTTATGCCGGCGCGACCACTTTTATCCACCTTTTTTTCTTTTTATGCACTTCTATAGTGGCGCGTTTCACTAACGGTTTTGTTTTTATGCCGACGCGACCACTTTTATTCACTTTTTCTTCTTTTTTTTGCACTTTTATAGTTGCGCGTTTCACTAACGGCTTTGTTTTTATGCCGACGCGACCACTTTTATCCACTTTTTCTTCTTTTCACTTTTATAGTGGCGCGTTTCACTAACGGCTTTGTTTTTATGCCGACGCGACCACTTTTATTCACTTTTTCTTCTTNCTTCATGAATTATTCTTCTTTTTTCGTATGCACAGCTGTCCGCTATAATGGAGAATATACTCAAAATCGGGACTTTATCGCGTGATTAATAATGCCATTCTGGTTGATCCTCTTCTTGGTTGGTGATGTCCTCGGAATTTTGTGGCTCGATTTTTTTGTGATATTCTAAAAAATATTTACCTTTTGGAAAAAAACAGTTAACTCACATTTTTGTGTGTGGATCGGCAAGATCAAAATCTACAACTCGTTCACAGTGGCCACCAGGGATGTTTTTTTTTTGTTTTTTTATTGGATATAGGATTTAGAATTATTATTATTATTTTTGTTTTTCAATGAGGCGACTTGGCAGTGGGGAAAATCTATTGCTGATTCCTTGTGGAAAATCCGGCTCGAAGGACCATGTTCGTTGCGGAGTTGACAGGGTCCAGAATTCGTCCTGAATTCTGGAAAACGGGGATCGGGGGAGGCGCCGTACTTCCACAAGTAATCCGATCTGTAACAAAAATTAGAAAAAATCCTGCTTCCTCTCCAAGAGAGTGCACCAAAAACAATCTAGCTTTTTTGTTAGTAGTTATTAAATATTTTATTTGTATATTTTATGTGATATAAATTATTATTTACATATATATGTGAAATATATCTAGAAAAAATAGGAAAGACTCACCTTGATGTCGCTGATACGCCGAGTTGGATAAAAGAAGAAGGTTTGTTAGGCAACATTGGCCTTTTATTGACTCCACAGAAGGGGAAATCTTCATGGAATCGCTAACGGGATTCAAAACTACCAAAATGATTTATCATGTTATCTTCCAGTGTATCAGCGACATCTATGGGCGAGACTGTTGCGACGCAGCAGCGTTGCACGCATAAACATTCGGAATAAGATACCTATGGTTTTTTTATTTAGTTGACAATGATCTATTACCATAGAATATTTTTTCTCCCAGAGGCGTCAAGCTTTTTACTACGATCCCTACTGGGCAAATTCTTCCATCATTCAATAGTTCAAAAATTTGTTGGTCAGTTTCCTTGTTTAAAGGGTTTGGGAATATACTGGTTCTTGAGTTATTAGATCTATCTTCATTTTTTGTGAAATCTATGTCTAGACAATTATAAGAAACGATAGTTTTTTATTGAATTCAAATTTTGGATTTTCAGAATGTGGAATTTTTCCGTTGCCTATTTCTTTAAAACATTCCAATTGTGGCAAGTTAAATGACTGATGGATTTTGAATGAAAGTCGGACTGACTTAAAATTTATTCAAAGCAGTTTCTGATAAATATTTTGATCAATTACCATTTGCCATTTTGTAACCATATTTGGCAATGGCGAAGGGTTAATTTAAAACATTATTGTAATATTGTCATTAGTGTTGCCTGCTTGTTGTTTTGAATGGTTTACTGCTCTATTTTCGTATATGTGGTCTTTTGGAACAATTCTGGCCCCGCTATATCTAACAGAGGCGATGATGAATATGATTATGGGGGTGAAGAAGCAGTTTATATCTTTTAAATGAAATTTGAACCCCAATAAACAAAAATTGTTTGAAAGCCGATGTTGACTATATTTTTTTTTATGATATACAAAACCAAATCATTCAAATAACTCTAAATTCATTATTTTTTAGTTCTTCATTATTAATTAGCTAAAAAAAATAACTTTTCCGTATTTAGAAGGTTTGTGGGAGTTTATCACCATTTTTAACACCATTTATCCCACTGTGTTTGCAAACCGGTCAAATGCATCGCGTGCTGCGCCCAATATCCGGTCTGAATAATCTCGTTAAAAAATAGTCTTTCCGAAAATCACCAAAAATCGGACTATGATAGCAAATAGCTCACAGGTGATTTCGTGTTATATTTTTCACAATTTTTCTGAACATGAATTTCAAAACTTCATACACGCACAAGACAGAATTATTTCGTCGTTTTGATTTTTCTTAAACATGTTTATTTTAGAAAATTTTTATATGTATATGTACGTTTTTAAGTTTTGGTGTAAAATATTTATTTACTTCATGAATTAATCTTCTTTTTTCGTATTTACAGCTGTCCGCTATAATGGAGAATATACTCAAAATCGGGACTTTATCGCGTGATTAATAATGCCACTTGTACATGACTTCTAATAAGATAATTAGAACTGTTCAGATAGTAATAGTTAGATATTATAAATACACATAGTTATGCGCATTTCTCATAGTATGCAAAGTAATTCTTGATAAATTATTAATACAATAAATTCATATTTACATGAATTAATGACTTAACTATACTACTTTAAATTATAAACACATATTAGACTTTTAATAATATCATATATAAAAGATATATGTAATACTTAAGTTCATTCAGAGCGATGTTGTACTTAAATGCAAAAGTTATTTAGGTCAAACTAACTATAATCATACATATGTATGTATGTCCGAATAATAATATGATAATGAGGTTAACCATAGTTAACTGTAAGACGCTATTGATTGCAAAGGCTACATTAGGTAGTACGTAATATGCTACAATTAATACATATATACAAAACATATACATATATATACATCACATATTATTAGATATATATATGGACATATTATATACATACAACATATAAAAGAATATGTTATATTGATATACTTATATATATAAGAAAGCTCGTTATTTTCATATAGTGGATTTGTACATGGCCAGTGTGTACACTAAGTGAAAAAACTTTTAGCTAAATATGTTTAAAACTATTAAGATTCATAAAAATTTACAAGGAATACGTTTATGTCTAGATCAATTATTTACATATTTGTTTACATGTGCCACACTAATTGGTCCCCCAAGGATATAGATGTATGTACATGTCTTTATAAAAAGTTCGTATATTCGAGCGCATATATACATACATTTCAAATGTGTACAAATGTCTTGATGGCTTAAAAAGAATAAATTAAAATAGTTCGCCATAGTAACAAATCATTCAATATGACTTTTCTACTGTACTCATTACTAAAGCACAAAGGAAAGTATTACTAATTATTAGAATTATTGTTACAGCTACTACTAATGTTATTATTATTTTAATTATTTTAATTATCATTACTATTATTATTATTTTTATTTTTAATTTCTTAATTAATATTATGTTAACTGTCCTTTTTTTGAACGCACATATGTAAACGCGCCGAAATTCCTTATGTTCTTTTTTATTAAACACCTTGTTTATTTTTTACATTTAGGCGTATATAGCAAAATAGAAAAAGAAGAAATGGAATTGTTATGATTTAAATGCCAAAACAAGCGGATTGTACTCAGTTTTGCACCATCCGTTATTTGCCCACATTTTTGCTCTTCTTACTTTCTTATCAGCAATATACCTGCAGATTTACCGTTAAGTGCCTTTTGCATTTATTATTCATTGCCAGATTTCAGAAAATCACTCCTTCCTCTAGTTTATAGTTGATTTGTGGAATTTGGAGCTCAGTCTCTAACTATTTTTTGAAAAATGAAGAAGCTGACTTCTGACAAAGAAAATAGTATTATCTCTCTAACTAAAAGTGGGTGTACGACACGCACTATTGCTGAGAAGATGCAAATTAGTCAATCAGTGGTTGTCAAGGTGCAGAAAAGACAAAATATTTGTGCTGAAAAGAAGTTGAATGGTCGCCGTTGTCATCTAACAGACTCTGACACTCGACTTATGATGTCTGAAATGAGAAAAAATAGACTTTTAACGCCAACTGAAGCTTCTACAAAAGAAGGCGTGAGTCGATGGACAGCTAGAAGAGCACTTTGTGGCCGTGAAAAAAAATAAACCAACTTTACGAGAAAAATGTTAAGGCTCGGCTAAAAATCGCCAAGGAACACAAGAACTGGACAATAGAAGACTGGAAACGTGTTATCTGGTCGGACGAATTTAAGTTTAATAGTTTTCACTTGGAAAGCAATACTGTTGGCGAAGAACTTGTGACAATCTTCAAAGGCATCATGTGAGGCAAACCGTGGTAGTGTTTCATGTATTCGCACAAAAAAATTGACGAAATTATACGAAGCGAAGACTATACGAACATTTTGCAAACCCTTCTTCCCAATTATTTTGACCAGTGTGCGTACCCAGTGTACAGGAAAGAACTTTTCAACAAAATAGGGATCCCAAGCACACTGCGAAAATTGTTAAAGAATGGCTCGGAAACCAAAATTTTAAGATGAGGGTGTGGCCAGCGCAGAGTCCCGACCTCAATCCGATTGAAAACCTATGGTCAATCGTAAAGCGACGGCTCGGACGGTATCAATCAGCCCCATCCAACTTGGATGATGTGTGGGCGTGTTGAACAAGAGTAAAATAATATTCCGAAAAATGTCAAAATTAGTGATAAGTGTGAGTTAAATGGTGCAAAACTGAGTACATGCCGCTTGGTTTTGTTTTTGAATCATTACCCTTCTATAGCTTCTTCAATTACTTTGTTTCTTACGCCTTTGTTAAAAATGAAATACCATTAAAAATTTTTGAAAGTATATCATCTACTTCTTACGATTAGTTTTTATGTGCTCCTAAACATGAAAACGTTGATTCTGGAATCACTTTTGCTCCCCACTGTACGGGAAGTTTATAAAGCGCAAATCGTCTATATAGAATCGCCCATTTCGTGGTTTTAAGGACTGTACGCACAACGCGTCGAAATTTCTGAAACCCACGACAAAAATGGTGACTCAAACGTAGCCACGTTTCGTGTTTTAAGGCCTTATTAAAAGAGGAATTCCCCGATCCTGTAATCTCTCGTCTTAGCGATGTCAATTTGCCACCGATATCGTGAGACTTCCGTCCTTATGCGGATAAACCTCTAACCCTTGAGTGCTTCGAAACGAGTGTTAAAATTTATTTACGTTTATTTTCGAAATCACGAAATGGATAACCCTGTATATACGCTGATTCTAAAGCGGCGCAAAACTTCGTTTTGCTTCATGTTAGGCCTTCAGTTAAACAATGAGTGTTAATAAAACAATGGTTGCTTAAAGTTGAATGTAATTTGTTTGAATGGAACCAAAATTAGTAAATAGTGGTTTGGTAAACAATGTGTTTCGAATGGTTTTTTTGGCGCAAAAACGGTTTACCAACACAAATACATGGAGCGTACACTGATCGTGGAAAAGGTAAAACCGGAAAATATGGTCAAATGTCTTATTATTTTCCGTTTCTTTGCAATAGGAAAAATTAAAAACTGGTTTTTGCTCATTCTAAATGTGCATTTATGTTCTTACTTGATTCTAATGTCATATAAATAGTGTGTTTCAGTGTGTGTCAATCGCCTTTCTTCTAATTCACAAATAGTTACAAAATCACATATATGTACATATATTAAATCCGCAACGATACTTATATCTATTAAATTTACATTTATATGTTGTGATTATATAGTACTTGCATTTCTTTTATTTATAAAATTACAAATATATTAAATCCACAGTGAGGTTTCCATATTTTGGATTATATATTGTAATATTTAGTTTTGTATAGAAATGTTACTCAAAATTCGAGTCTGATAATAATAATACGCCAATTTCAAAGCATTCGAAGCATTCCTTTGCTTTTGAACAAGAAGAGCTAAAAGCGAAAACTAAATCGGCCTTTGATGATCTCATGAACTCAATTATTGCTCCAAAAAAGTTTACAGCTAAGAGTATCTCTATATACAAGATTTGTAACAAATGGCCAATCTTGTTGAAACTTTAAGTAGATTAAGAAAATAAGCAAATGATTCTTCTCGTGGTCACAATATTTATAAGCTGCCTTTTGACACTGAGGTGTTTAAAGAAGTTTATATCTCCTGGCCATCACCCCGTCTGAGAAACTTTTTCACCTCAATAAAGAAACCTTGGGGCAAGCGAAAGATATATTAAAACAAGTGTCATTTAACAAACGAAGGTTTTCCAGCAGCTTGGAAGAATCTGTATGACAGATATGAAACTAAATGTTTCAACTGACATTTTTATTTAGTTTTAAATTAGTGGAAATCGAATTTAGCAGTTCACTGAAAAACTTGCAACAAAGCTTTATTAATTGTCTATCTTCTCTTAAAAGATATAAAATTGGCATTTTAAACTCAGATGCATTATCACATATATATGCTCCAATAAATTGTTTTTTCCCACTGAGATAAGGTATCTCTATGGGAAAATGCCACAGGGAAAAAAAACATGAACGGATTTCTTTCCAAAATTTATAAACAGTTTCAGGCTCAAGGTACGTTACACAGGTGATACCGCAAAAGTTCCAACACAAGTAAGTGTAGCAAAGCTTAAATGACACAGTTTGATGAGCACACATTACGTTGTTGTCCCAAATTTTTCAAATTAACCGCCACAAAGACTTGAGTACATCAAAAGCAAAACAGGCTGCGTAAATTGTCTCTCTCCTGATCGTGCAAGTGCAAAACGCCCTAAAGTTGCAGCAAATGTCATCACCTTTCAAACATTTCTTCAAGAACATCATGATCCTCTGATGACTTATCTTTGTCAACAAGACAGGCGTAAGCAAATTGTAACTCTAGAAAAGTAAATCAAAAATTGGTTATATTATAATAACTAATACTAACCACTAATACTCATAAGAATTTACTGATAGGGACAGCACGTGTTAGTATATATAGGACGAGAATACCGGGGTGGACTTGCGACAAGATCTTCTATGAATTACACAATACGAACAAATGCGACCCTGACATCTTAACAAACGCTGCCCTAATGACCATTTTTAAAAAATGGGTCAAAGCTAGCAAAAAATGAGTCGTTTACAAGCACACTTGAATAAATAAGTATAAAATTTTAATAAATTAAAATAAAGCTGAAATAAGAATGCGAATAAGCGTAATAAATTAATTTAAGACTGATTTCCAATTATTCTACAAAATTGGTGGCAAATCATTTTGTGTGCAGTTGAAGTAGTTTTTAGCGTGGCAGAGGCCGAACTGCGCTATTTCTGCTATCATCGTTTCGTTTGGTAGAGGTCGGGTACACAAACGTCGTTTCTGATATAGAAGTTTTGGCGTGGCAGAGACCGAAGATCGTTATTGCTGTGGACATTGTTTTATTTGTTAGAAGCTGGATAAAAGTTGTTGCTGCTGAAGAGATTTTAACGTAAACTTCATATAAATGTAAGCTTTTTATATTACCTACTTATTGTATTACATATAATATGAGGTATAAGTATATAGATTAATATGAGCAAAAGTCAAATTTTAAAATTGAAGGTGGTCGAGTTAAAGGCCAAGTTGGCTGAGGTAGGACTGTTGGCAACAAGCCGAACCACAACATTTCAATACAGACTTTTTGAACATTGTGGCCTTGCTGGTGACGGTTACGATGATGATAACGGTGACGAAGTCCCGAATACGGTGATGCAAGTACATCACCATCAAGTGAAATTCAAGCTCAAACGTATCATACATTGTACTTGGCACGAAATACGTGTCATACGTTTGCACCCCGTTTTCATCTTAGCTGTCAGTTTTTGAAAGCTAATTTTTTTAGATATAATCGCATTCAAAAAAGCATTAAAAGTAACAATTATAGAAAATAGATACCTCATAACGAGCTTAAAAGCGTGGAACAAAAGCGAAGTCTCCAATGAAAAACAAAGCAGTTGTAGATTTGGCCTTCTCTAAGAAACTTGGCAGACATTTCTGATAGCCGCTTCTTCAAAATATCCACCACATCCTGGTAGTCCCAATTGTTCTGATTGCGGTATTCAGTGGAAAAGAAATTCCAGATCCTTTCCCTCAACTCTACTTCCTGGATCAGCGATTTTTGGTTTCCTCTGCAGACCACTTCTCCTGCATTTTCGTTCACGCTTATATGTGCCGTTGGTGTTTTCTATAGTTTCTTCCATATTTTCAACTGAGAAACATATTAGAAAGATAGTGAATTGCACTGTATGTACATATGTATTGGCTTTTATCAGATGTTCACGCGGCAAATGAAAA